AGTAAATAACTATCTAAAATTGATGTTTTAATTTAGATGAAAGGTTAATTTCATATAATACTTTTTTATTATTATAATTTATATGAAAAAGGCTAAACATGACGGAATGGAAGCATAAGAGTAAATAACTGTTTCAGATCATCATTATAATTTATATAAAAATTGCTAAACATAACTGAATGGATGCCTGCATCGCTATTTCGCTACCGACTTATCGCTAAAGCGTAATTTCATCTCGTTGGTTGTTCAAACGTAATTTTCTATAATGAATGATGCCTTTTCTTTGAAAATATTCTCGGTAAAGTGCAGAATCGCTCACTTATTTGTTTGCCGCTTTTTACAAGGGTAAAAACAATTGGATTTTTGTCAATTTTCTTTTACTTTTTAAGTGAAAATGGGTCGATGTGTACATAGATAAAGTCAAGGGTGTGCGCGGTGCTTATTTTTGTCAAATTCTAGGATTTTTTTTAAGTGAAAATAGGTCGATGTGCACATGGATACCGAGTATGTGCAATTCTTAAAAACGCGTCAAGCAGTGGGTGATTCTGCAATTTACCCAAAATTCTATTGCCGACTTTTCGTCATGGGCAATTCCCAAATTGTTAAATCCATAGGATATCAAAAAAAGATTTAAAAATTAAACTAGTATTTCAATGGCGTCTTAAGAAATATAGAACTATATACTTACGCAATCTGAAATCAACGCGTTTGTTAGATTTGGCGCGCTGTTAAATGAACGCGTTTGCTAGATTTGGCGCTTTTGCGCATACATTTTCGCTGCAATTTTCTTACGGCCCTCAAAACAGAATAGTGCGAGAAAATTTTTTAAAAAAATTATAATTTAGATCGCAAAAAATAATTGATCAACTAGTGTCAATACATGTTTATCGACTTTTATGTTTCTCTTACATACTGTATTTAATTAAATATCATGCACTCCTTCATGTATGCTTTCATCGCCTATAAATTTATATTTTCAAAGAATTAAATATTTAAAAATTAATTAAAACATTATTCGGAAAAAGATGTTCTTAAATGAGCTTTGCATAACACGCACAGAAATATTCCTTTCATAGAGTTAAAAAATTTCATAAATTAACAAAACACAAATCAAAAGCATAAATTTTTATTTTCATCAAAAGATCAATTATCTTGCAGAAGAATTTCATAATAGTATTGTAAGAGTTTAAAAATTAGGAAATATAAGAACTAATAATAGAAGGATATAAAGGCAAGTGTATAATAAATTACAGAACGGAAACAAAAAAATTATATTGCAGCTTCAGATGCATGGATTTTATAATAAAATTTGAACGCAATGAGTGATGGTGTAGCACCAGGCTGCCTGGGTCGTAGACCCTACCTCTAATAGAAAATGGGCTACTTCGAATTACAAAAACAGAAATATATAAATATGTACAAATTACTAGACTTAACCTTTTTTAATTATAGTTAATGAAAATAGTAAATAAGATTAAGGTAATTATTTATAACAATTAGAGCATACAAGAATCATTAAAAAATGAAAATGCGATCCGGAAAGAACTGAAGAAGCCCATTGAGCCAGTGCGAGCAGCTATGCCAAACAAGTACAAGGTAAATGCGAGACCTAGTGTGTAACAGGGTTCGTACGGTCCCTTCAAAGTCCTTAGATTTTTTGGAATCAATTTTTGGTCCTTAAAAGTCCTTAATTTTGACCAAAATCAGCAGAAGGTTCTTAATTTTAACCATCTGAAATTACTGTTTGTTATTACGACTGCCATTTTTAGTGTGAATTAGCATTTTAGAGGAAAATATTTTGGCGATAAATTGACATACATGGTTATCTTTCAAATGGGTTATAATTTGTTTCTAATATAAATGATGGGATACTCGACTTTCTAAGCAAGAAGTGAAACATAAACATTTCGAAATACATTTTTTCTAATAAAAAGCTCTTGAACAACTTTTCGCTTTTGAGGTTGTGAGTTGTTTTATTAAATAGTTCTAAGTTTGGCGACTTATCAACATTTTGGCGATTTTAAAATCAGTTTCTATAGGAAATTTTTAATTCGGAGATCTCAGAATTTTTTGACGAGTTCTTTTAAAACATCGTAACATTGATAAATTTCATTAAAATAATGGTAATATATTGAAATTATATTTAAAAAATAAAATTAAAATAAAGCATTTTTATTTTTCGCTGTCATATTATAAAGTTTCATTTTGGCAACTTATTATACAATATTTTGAATCTGAAAACTAAGCAAGATATAATGCTATAAAGCACGATTTACGAAACACCTCTTAACAAAAGCAAAATTAGCTATGTAATTAGTTAAAAATGTCTTCTTTTTAATTTTTTCATAGTAAAACTTTTTCCCATGTAATTGTCTCAGGATATTCAAAATTCTCAGAATATGCATCAGTTTTCTCTATAAAATTAATTTTACACTTTTTCTCTCCTTTTTTTTGTTCCAAAATATTTCTGGCTTTTTGCTGTTACAAATTGGTAGGGATAATTTTTCTTTAGGATTTTAGACATTGCAGCTTGGAAAGTTTAGAAGTATTTGAAGGCAAGATTTATAAACCCACGATTCTAGAAGATTAGAGAAATATGTGAAAGAATAAAAAATATCTCCGTGGTATCAATACGTAATGGATGTATTTTACAGAAAGTTTGAGATGAATTTCTTACTTTTTGGAGAACGTCTGAAAGAACAATGAAAACATAATATTTGAATGTTTTACTTCTGATACTAGAATCTTTTTCTTAACATGTTTATCTTCCCTTTATTTTCTCTATTTTTACTAGACACAAGCATAGAAATTATCAAAAATGCTTCTAATCTTATTACATGGGCAGGCATTATGGAAAGGGTTTAAAATTTATAATTTAAAAGATTCACCTAATAAGTCTTAATGCATAATACACAGAGCTGGCACTAAGCATTTTCCCACCTGATGTAATCTCTATGAATCCTAAATTCTGCTGCCTAGTACTTTTCTAAATTCTGCTTCTAATGCCTAAAAGTTTTGCCATTTCTAGATTCTAAAAGTTTTGTCATTTCTAGATTTTGTTGTTCGGTGTGTTACTAAATTCTAAAAATTCTGCCACACCAGCTCTGTAACCGGCCTTTAACATATATATTTAATATTTCTTTTGAATGTTCATATTACTAAAAAAATAAAATTAGCCACTTTTTCTATACATTCTAAATGCATTTAGTGTTTTTTAGAATAACAGAGATCTTTAATTAAATCCAAAAATTCTAAAACGAAAAGAAAACATGTTGAAGAAAGAAACTAAATACATAAAGAAAATTGGGTACTTTTCCATTTTGCCGGCGCAAGCACCACTCACCCGAAGGCGACAATATAGAAAAGGCAAAGTTAAGGGTTAAATTCATCCATTCTAATGAGATTGCACTAGCGAAGTAAAGCACTGCGGTGTTACATAATTTCGGAGTAAGCTATTCGTACGAATTGAAATAATTCTTCAATTTAAACTTGTATTCCAAATTAAGATATAACTTGAAATGAAGGTAGATAATTACTGAGAGAATTAGATTTTTTGTAGTGGAGTTTACGTGAGATGAGATCCCTTAGAGTCACGTGATAAGAAACTGCTAATCAGGGCGTTGTACCATGAAAGCGTAGAAAATTCTTAAATTAATGTCTTTTTACAAAATTTTAAACCATATTAAAATGTTCATACCTTCAAAATAAAAATATCTTAGAACTAACATGTGTTAAGCGTATGTGTGTTGTCGCCAATAAAGTCTGCTTGGCGAGATTTGCGCCGGCGAAACGGAAAAGTACCGAAAATTATTCTTCAAAGATATGTGCAGTTATTATTATGTAAATTATCCAATTGTTCAATGATTTCATTAATTGATTTCAGCCTTTACTATAATTTCCCATTTCTGTTTCCTCATATGATAGAGTTACTAAGCAGATTAAATTTTAATTAAATTGTATAATCTTTGACCGTTAGTCCACATTTTTAGTTTAAATTAGACTTTTGCCGAAGTAATTGTTTAATTACGTCACCGTGAGCTGTAACTGATTTTGCTAGCATGCCTTTATGTCCTAAGTTCTTTTTAAATAAGAGGCTTATTATGACGTCGTAAAAGTTACCACGACCACTTTGCAACCTCTCGGACCAGTTTGCAACGTCTTTGCTACGTCATTAGAGCCTTCCCTTTATCAGTAGCATGCTACTGATAAAGGAAAAGGCACTAATGGACACTAAATAAGGTGTGGATATACAGTGGAACCTCGAGATTCGAGTTTAATTCGTTCCAGCATTGAGCTCATGTAGCGAATTCTCGTATCTAGAAACAAACTTCCCAATTGAAAATAATGGAAATCTAGTTAATCTGTTTCGCACTCCCAAAAATATCAACATAAAAATCCGTTTTTCTAATAAATAACACAGGTAAATAATATAACCGTAGTTGACCTTTAGGATAGTTTCCGACACCGACCTTCTAAATGCAATCCACAGCAGCAACAGCTTCTCGACGTCTTATTAGGAGTTTTGAACAGTGCTTGGAAGTAACGGCCAACTCCTTTGACTAAATCAAGATTCTTAATTTCTTTCTGCTTCTTCAGAATAGTGTAAATCGTCGATGTCGAAAGTCTTCGCCAATTCCGTCACTGTTACACCACGCTTGTTTATCTATGATGTCTTTCGTAATTTCAACGGTCATGGCTTCCTTATTTTTCTTTGCAGCACTATCTGAGGCAATAATCTTCTTGGGAGGCATCGTAAAATAATTATTTTCACGTTAAATGTAATAACAATTGATTCACAAGCCCACAAACACGTAGATCAAAGAACGCCGAGTTGATCTGATGAGGAAATTCCCGAGTGGAGCCGGATCGGGAAATGGCGCCACGCATACCAACAACTTGGCTCAGTGCTGGTATCTCAAGGTTTCACTATACTAAGTGACTGGCTGAAGCATATTGCAGAAAGAAAAACGAATCGTAGAAAGTATATGATAAACACCTACCTGGAAATTTTCAATAACTTCCATGAGATATGGTTATATCCGTTCCGTTTGCCGTTGCCGCCGCATCTAGCTTGCAAAGCTGTAAGCTGTATACCGGCTATCTTCATTTGGCTGCTTCACGTAGCGATACAAGGACAGAAATGCCTGAGTGAGTCCTGGAGACAAGATAAAATACATAAAATGGAAATCTTTCTCATGAACTGGAAGACTATATACACAATATTTACAACCATTTGCTTTTCATTAAATGAGTGATGAGGATGAAGTCAAAATCATGCTATAAACACATAGTCAGCAGAGATTTTGGACAGAGCACAGATGTGAAAGCACAATAAAGCTTTTATGTAGGAAAGTTGTGGTTATCGCTGAGCATGAAAGCCGCAAAAGGGCGAAGATGGCGGTCCTTATGAAGAATCTCGTATCTGAAAAGTTCAAATTGGTTCATTATATTACATTCTTGTGCTTCCTGATAGAAGCGTTGGTTTAATCCTAGTATCCGGTGCACACGGGATTTGGCTACTTTTGGCGACTTTATGATGAGCAGTAAAAACCGGACATTGCGATGAGTAGTTAACGGGTCATTCAAAGAAAATATATACTTAAACATAGTATATACTATGTATATAGTAGATATGCTATGTATATACACACATAGTATATAGTGTATAGTATATATATATAGACGTTCTTTGGATCATTTTTGGTGTTGGCGATAATTTTCAAAGTCGCGCCAAGGCTGCACCGTATACTAGGATTTTACCGAAGCGTTCATTGAGTTTTCTGAGAAACGTCGCCAAAGGTTCGATCTTAAGGTCGTCGTGAAAACATTCGTGACGTACGTAGAAGTGGGCATTTGTAATAATGCGAAGATATCTGCTTTGCACCTCTTAAAGCTTCTTAAGTTCCTTATCAGAGATAGTTATATGGTTGTACAGAAATGCCCGCAATAAAAAAACGATTTGCAGAATTTTGTTACAACAGTAAATTGTTACAACGGTAAATTAAAACTCAAAAAAGATCTCAAGCAAAGTTGAATTAATCCACTGTACTATCAGCAGAATATTTTAGAACCATTTTTTGAAGACGAAATTCCAGCCTTATGTGGTTAGATTATCTGAATATGGCAAAGCTAGGAAGGTTATTCGTCTAAGTAGAGGTAGGCTTTCATAGAAGACTAGGCTCGTATTCCAGTGCCACATTCGCCACGCAGCCATCCCGTTCGCCTGGGTTTGAATCCAATGCAAGTCAAATCACCACTATTTACCGGTTTTAATCGTTCAGCCCCTGGTGGGGGTCTAATATGGAAAGGATAACAGCAATGTTGAACTTCGTATGGGGCAAATCTTCTAACCACAGATCTAAGTCAACAACCGCTTATTTTGCAAAAAAAAAAAAAAGGTCTTAATCCTAATATCCGGTGCACAAGGGATTTGGCTACTTTTGGCGACTTTATGATGAGCAGTAAACGGAACATATACAATGAGTAGTTAAACGGGTCCTTTTGGTATTGGCGATAATTTTCAAAATTGCGCCAAGGTGCACCGTATACTAGGATTTTACCAAAAAAAGGAATCAAAAGCAGGAATGAAATAATAATTTAATTATAATTAATAGTTTAATTAATAAATTAATTAAAATCATCTAATGCTTCTCTTATGGACTTCCGCGTTTTCGGTTAGTGAAAACGAGTCTTGGGGGGGGGGGAAACGTATTTAGAAACACTGAATGGATTTTGGAAAAAAAACCAAGAAGAGTGGGACCAAATTGGCACAGTGGTGTTTTACCTTTCATATGAAATTTGAGCTACAGCTTATAGCCAAGAATCAAGGTTATCAGATAGGAGAAAAATCTCCGTAAGAAATAAAACTTTTGTGCATCAAAATTCATTAGGAAAATTTATTTCTCCAAAATGCGAACAACCTTCTGTATTAGGTTTTATTATTATTATTATTATTTATGCTATATTTCTATATCATTCACATTTCTGCTTGAATAAAATGCTATCGCTATCATTGCTTAATTAAGAATTTGAGTTGTTATTAAGAATAAGTTTCATGTAACAAAAAATTTCAAATAAAAACATGGTGATGTATTTTTCGGTACTTACGTGTTATCGCAACCAGGTTGGCGCTATTTGTAAGTTTGAGTAAAAAAGTACATTTATTAATTATATTATTATAAAGTACAGAAAATGTACATTTATTAATTACAGATAATTTTAATGCAGTTTTTTATATTATTTTGTTTTAAAATATAAAATAGCAATTAAACCCTTCCGGTTTCGAATTTGAATAAGTTGCAAAATTATTTTTTGTTGGAAATCGTTTGGCTATTGCTTTTAGCACTGATTGAAAACCATGTACACGTCGACTTATTTTTAGTTAAAAAACACATCCCAGAATTACACAAAAATGGCATTGCGCAGACTCTTCACTATATCCATGTACACTGCTTTTTTCTCATAAATTAAAAAAATTTCACGAAAATACATGACAATTTTCTGAATCTTTAAACCCGGTAAAAAGAACATATATGAAATTACCTGATCGCGAAAAAGTATATACCCTTTCCAAATATGAACATTTCCACGTATAAAATAAATAAAATATCCAAAACCTTTTACCTCTTAATCATCTATTACATTATACACGTCACCAACGAATTCATACCGCAAGCATTACAAATACTTAGTGTCAAATATTTAAATTATTTCCATGCACATTTACTTCAACTTAAACGTATACCAAATTCCTACAAACATAAAATTCACAAAATAACTATCATTTAATTAAAATATCACTAAACCATGTACACGTCGACTTATTTTTACTTAAAAAAACATCCCAGAATTGCACAAAAATGGCATTGCGCACACTCTTGACTTTATCCATGTACACTGCTATTTTCTCATAAATTACAAAAATTTGCACGAAAATGCAGGAAAATTTTGTCAATCTCCAAATGCTCTTTTTACAAAACTACGTATAACACGTAGGGTTGCCGTAAGTAGGGTCGCCAAATTTCGCAATTTATGCGAATTTTGGCCTGGTTGCGTTAATACGTATGTACCTATTTTTCTATCCCCCCCCCTTTTTTTTTTTTTTTTTTTTTTCACTGCTTTATTATTTTCACTGTTAGAAAATAACATCTCAGTTAATAATTCTTTTCTGCAGGAATTGGCTCTCTATCCAGAAATCACAACAGAAGAGACTCTTACCTATTTCGGAAGACTTTACCAAATGAAAAACAAACAAATCAAAGAAAGAATCTCATTTCTGGCTGAGTTTTTGGATATTCCCGACAAGAAAAAACAAATCAAATATCTCAGGTATTCAAAACTCTTATTTATTTAATTTAAAATTTTAAATATCCATTGCAGTGTGAACATGTTGTTGTTACATATGGCGGTACTTTTCCGTTTCGCCGGCGCAAAGTTCGCCAAGCAGACTTTGTTGGCGACAACATACAGTATGCACATAAAAAATGTTAACGAATGTTAGTTCTAAGAATTTTTTATTTTCAAGCCATAAACATTTTAATATGGTTTAAAATTTTGTAAAAAGACATTAATTTAAGAATTTACTATGCTATCATGGTACAACATCTTGATTCGCCAGTTCGTATCCCGTGACCCCAAGTGATCTCATTTCACGTAAACTACGCTACAAAAATCTGATTCTCTCAGTAATTACCTACATTAATTTCAAGTTAAAGCTTAATTTGGAATACAAGTTTGAATGCAAGAATTATTTCAATTCGTACGAAAAGCTTACTCAGAAAATTATGTAAAACCGCAGTGCTTTATTTCATTAATGCGTTCTCATTAGAATAGATGAATTTAACTCTTGATTTTGCCTTTTTCTATATTTTCGCTTTCAGGTGAGCGGTGTGATTGCATTCTAATTAATTACCGCGTATTGTTTTAGGGCATAAAATTTAACTATCTTGTAAAAATTCTATGTAATTGTATGCCAGTATTGAAAGAAACAATCAATCTGATAAGAAATGGTAGCGACTTGTTTTGAAAATGAGGCGTAAAAGGTACCAGCGAAGATACATTATTGGCGTTGTACCATTATTGGCGACTTTATCGTTTGCGCCGGCAAAACGGAAAAGTACCCATATGGCTTTATTGGAAAGATCAATCCAAACATATATAACAGCTCAAGTATCACACAAGAACAGTGATAAATAATAAAAAAGAACAAACATATACAAAGAATCAGAATAAATGAACATGAGAACAAAACCAAAAAGTTAAAAATTTAAACAACAAGGAAAGGAACATAAGAGCGGGAATATAATTTGTCTGGAATTCCAAGTCCATTTCTAAAATCTGATATGTGATCACTTAAAGAAGAAATGGGTTGATCTTTACATTATGGTAACTTGGCGATTCTTTGGCGAAAATTTGGCAACCAACTCTCCTACAGCAACCCTCTATTTTTTTTTTCCCGCCGACATTTTGTCTTCACGAAGTAAAGACATGTTTCTTTTCTTTTTATTTACTGAACACTTTTTTCCAACAATCTACTAGCCGAATACACTTATGCTAGAAATTTTATCTAACAAACTGCTTAATCATGACAAATATTAACTGCAAATTGGGAAAAAGTGCACAATCGCAAACTCCTTGCGCGTTTTTTCAGAATAGCACATACACATAAACCATTTACACGTCGACTTATTTTTACTTAAAAAAACGTCCCAGAATTGCACAAAAATGGCATTGCACACACTCTTAACTTTATCCATTTACACTGCTATTTTCTCATAAATTACAAAAATTTGCACGAAAATGCAAAAAAATTCTGTGAATCTTTAAACTCGGTAAAAGCACATACAGTGAGTCCCAAAATTGAAGGTACACTCCATTCTACAAAAGAATTCATGTTTAGAATGAAAACAAAAACTGTAAGATAAAGACAGTCACCAAAACCTTTAGACGAGGATGTAGAAAGATATCTAATCTTAATATTTATTCATAAATAGACATAAAAAAATGCATGAAATACAGAAACAAAATGTACAACCGAAATCGTCAAAAATCTGAGCTCACAAAATTGAGGGTACGTGTAATTGTTTTATTACATAAATTATAAAAAAACAACACATTACTATTTTGTAGCATACCCAGTGGCTTTGATGACAGCTTCCAACCGCCGGGACATCGAATCAACAAGATTTTTCGTAATTTCCGTTGAAATGTTTTCCCACTTCACTTTTAGTACATGCTTCAAATGTTCTTTACTTGTGATCTGATGTTTTCGGACCTCTTTTTCAAGGTGGGACCACAAATTTTCGATCACGTTCAAATCAGGAGGTTGAGGGGGGGGGGTGTTCAGCTGATTTCGGCAGTGATACAGCAGCCATTCTTTGACAGTATTTGCTGTATGCTTTGGATCATTATCCTGTTGAAATGTGAATTTTGATCCTAGTCCCAATTAAGTAGCACTGTCCTTCAAATTATTTTTCAATATAATTAAGATAAACCTGTTTTATCCATTATTCCATCAATAAACACTAGCTTTCCAACTCCCGATGATGCCATACAGCCCCAAACCATTACTAACCCACCTCCATGCCTTCACAGTTGGAATTGTGTTTCTTGGATCTAAAGCTGAATTTTTCTTGCACCACACCATACGATGACCGTCACTGCCAAAAACATTAAATTTACTCTCATCGCTGAAAAAAAACTTCATTCCAGAACTCTTTAGGCTTTAGAATGTGCTCTTTAGCAAATTTTAATTTCTCTTAGCTCTATTTATTTTACTAATGAAGGGCTTTTTGGGAGCTTTTCTGCCATTATAACCAGCCCTTCTGAGGATTCTGCGCACTGTTTCTGCAGAAACAGATTTACCCACAGTTTCCGAAGTACTTGCAGCAATTTTTGGAGCACTTATTGTAGGATCAATCCTTACCTGGTGTACAATTCTCCTCTCTGCTGCTGAACTGAGAATTTTCTTCCTGCCTCTCTCTGCTTGGTTTTCCAGCGTACCATCCTTTCTAAATTTTTGAATGATTCTTCTAATACAATTTACACTTCTTCTAAGTATTTCTCCTATTTTTCTCAAAGATTTTGCCTTGATTAGACAAGATTAACGGTCCAGTTTTCTTTCCTCAATCGCCGTTTCTTTCCTATTCTCCATAATATTTGTCACACAGAAAGGATAGTAAGCTCAAATTTGTAAATATTTGGATACTAAAAGGTTGTATTTTTGTATAAATCTTAGGTACAAATTATTTTTAAAATTTTTACTGGTAGTTTTACACAGTCATTTAAGAAGTGTACTCTCAATTTTGTGACTTTCAAAAGTTGAAGATTTTCGTTTAAGTAATATAATATGTTTTTAAACGGAGTTTTATAACTTATTTTTTGTGTAGTTAAGAAGAAAAATGTATATTTTTTAATGAGACAAAAACTAGGAAAACTTGCATAATAATTTCTATTCTCAATAGCCTACAAATTAAGTTAGCATTAAGTGTACCCTCAATTTTGGGACTCACTGTATATGAAATTACCCGATCGCGAAAATGTATATACCCTTTCCAAGGATGAACATTTCCACGTATAAAATAAATAAAATATCCAAAAACTTTTACCTCTAAATTATCTATTATATTATAAACGTCACCAACGAATTCATACCGCAAACATTACAAATGGTTACAAATACTTAGTGTCAAATATTTAAATTATTTCCATACACGTTTACTTCACCTGAAACGTATACCAAATTCCTACAAACATAAAATTCACAAAATAACTATCATTTAATTAATATATCACTAAACCATGTACATGTCGACTTATTTTTACTTAAAAAAAAATCCCAGAATTGCACAAAAATGGCATTGCGCACACTCTTCACTATATCCATGTACACTGCTTTTTTCTCATAAATTAGAAAAATTTCACGAAAATGCATGAAAATACTCAACGTATTCTACTCAAACGTATTCCAAAATACTACAAACATAGAACTCACAAAATCACGATCATTAAATTAAAATATAATTAAATTAAAAAACACTACTTAAAATATAAATAAGCACATACATTAAATTAATAAAAATTCGATTACAATCCTAATTACTTTCAACTAAATCATTGCTAATAACAATTTTCCAATAATATCATATTAATTTATTTACTCCTTACATGCATAAAAATAATATCCTCAATTGATTAATACTAACTTACCTAATCTTCAGAATCTTCATTACGTGGCACGCACACTTCCACTATTTCACACAACACACAATGAAGCTTAATACAAAATAGTATAGTACTACAGTTTTCCAAATTCCCCCCCCCCTTTTCCTCAAATAATTAAAAATACTAACTTACCTAATCTTCTACAGAATCTTGAGTGCATGGCGGATCACAAAATGTCCATTTTCACCAGGTTTCTTGCACCGCCATTCAAACTATCTGTAATATCCTTTTCACACAATCTCATTTCATTCTCACATATTGGACATTCATACTTATCCGCAATTAATCCTACACTCGTATACCATTCAACCAATTCTTTTCAATTATCACATAAACGTAATTAAAAATTTTCGGATTTACTTCATATAGCGGCCATGGGATCCAAAATATTAAACAACACTCGTTTCACAGAACATAGAATGAAACTACTCCTATAAAGCACAGCAAATATTTTTACAATATACCCCCCTTTTTCCGATTAAAGAACTGTAATTCGTCCATTAATGTCACATGACATATCTCATTATCTCTCATTTCCCTCACACAAAATAAGGCGTAATCGGAACTGAGTACTTCTCACATTTTTACCAAAGTCCTAGGTAGTAACCTTTATCGCCTCCAAAATGTCGCCAAACTACCAGTTACCATATTCCAAAGATCAGCCAAGAAAGGAATCTTACATTTCCTGGAATCCAAATGCGAATCTAACAATTTTTCAAATCTCACAAATCCTTCGCCTATCAAAAACTCTCGAAAAAAAAAGTTTTACTTAATATTCAAAGCTTTTGACTAAAGGAAAGTATGCAGTCTGTGTTTAACTAACAACAAATTTAAGATCCTTAAAAATACACTGCGCAAAAAGGATATAGGACAGTTCTTAATCTCCCGTTCTACTAGGCCGATTGAGGAAATTCCTATTGCGTTCGTCATGTCTCGAAAGCGCGATTTAGAATATACATTAGATTTACATACGGAATTAATCTAACATAAGAATTTTGACACAAAATCGGACATTTTCTGAAATAACATACCAATTTTTGGTTTAATCCTAGTATCCGGTGCACATGGGATTTGGCGACTTTTATGATGAGCAGTAAAAACGGGAC